ATAGATAGATAGATAGATAGATAGATAGATAGATAGATAGATAGATAATGGTTGGAGGGGCAGGCAGGCACACAGACGATGGATGGATGGATGGATGGAGCAGGCAGGAAATGATGGATGGATGGATGGGGGCAGGCAGGCAGACAGATAGGTAGATATGTAGATGGATGGATGGGTGGGTGAGTGGGTTGGTAGATGGGGACAGGCAGGCATACAATGATTGATTGATTGATTGATATGGATGGATGGGAGGGGCAGGCAGGCACACAGATGATGGATGGATGGATGAATGGGGGCAGGCAGGCACACAATGATTGATTGATTGATAGATATGGATGGATGAATGGATGGTGGCAGGCAGGCAGGCACACAGATATAGATAGATAGATAGATAGATAGATAGATAGATAGATAGATAGATAGATAGATAGATAAAAAATTATTAACAGCAGCATCAATTTACCCATTGAGGAAAACCGAACATTAGTGCATGGAAAAACATATTGGGATTGTAGTAGCCAGACTACTGATTACATTGGCTTGAGACATTCTGGTTACAAAGATAGGAACTTTGGTGTGAGCAGAACAAAAGAGCTTGCCAAACAAATTGGTTTGAATATTTTCAGAATTCTCAAAGGGATCGCTGGTCCTCCCTGATGAGACATTCCCAACGATTTCCCATCGGTCTATTTCTTCAGCCCGCCTGACTCACCATTTCTAACCCTGGGAAGAGTCAAGACAGTCGGGGACGGATGGGGAGCTTTCCTGCTCTGAACTCTCTCATAAGTTTGGAGCGTCCATAGGGGGAAACCTGATCCTTCCTTTGGCCCAAGATGCACCTGAGTCACCAGGGGAAAACAAAACACAACAAAAAGTCTGCCCTTCAGTTTAGTTTACCGTGCTATGCCTGGAGACATCTGTTGAGGATATGCCGTAATAAAGAAATCACAAAGCATTGTGGAGATTGGGGGGGGGGGGGGGGGGGGGGGAGGGGAGAAAAAGAGAGAGCATAAATGGTAGATCAAGTTCATTTTTCTCTCCCTTTCGGCCACAAAATATTTTAAGGTGGTGAGGCTTTGAAAAGGAACATTTTTATGCATGAAATGCAAAGAAAACTGCATTACTTGCAATGCTCTTACTGCAAAGAAATTCTGGGTACAGGCCTACCTTTATTTATAATCCTACCCTGATGAATGCTACCCTGGTATTCTCTTTCATTTCAATGTCATTGTGCATCCTGTTTTTTTTTTTTTTTAAATAAATTTCGGTACAGTTAATCTTTGAAACACACATGGCCTCTTGAGAATTATGTTCGCTAAGAGGGAAACACCCTTTCTTTCCTTGGCCTGGGGACAAGAGAAACAATAGAAGGAGCTTTGCATTACAAAGCTTGGGCATCCCATGTCGTTTCCTTAGAGCCTTTGAAGAGTTGGGTTTTTACTTTTCATACCAATTCGATGACAGGCACAGAATTTTATAAGGTTCAGTGGAAGGCTCCCTGTTACATGCCAGAGATGCTCTAACCTTAGAAAACCGTCTGATTTACATAATGTTTCCTTTTTTCCCCTCCCTTTGGGATAGCTCTCAATATGTTCAGTAGTAGCTAGCTTACCATGAAACAATGGAAGAGGTTTTTTTTTCTCTTCCAGATATTGGAAATATGGGGAACAGAAAGATTATTTTCTCCAGGATAAGCTTCAAAAACTCAGATCAATCAAAATAAATTTGTTCGGTCTTCCATATCAGTTAAAAGAGACGGCAACAAGCACTGTTGAATCTTGCTATTAAAGCAGGTCTACTTGCTTACATACCTATTTGTTTGTCTGTCTGTCTATCTTAAATGGCAAGATGGGCAACATTGTAAATTTAGTAAAAATTAAGTAAATAAAAATCCATCCATCCATTGCTTTCTATATCTGTCTATTAATCTATCCCTCCCTCCCTCTACTGGTATCTATCTATTCATCCATCCATTTTTATTATTAAATTTGCTGCCCATCTTGTTTCAAAGTGACTCCAACCATCAATCTCAAACTGCAAGGTGAGCAACATGTAAATTTAATAAAATATTATATAAAAAATCCATCCATCTCTCTATTATTTTTCTCTCACTCTCTCTCTCTCTCTCAGTCTAAATGTAACGGGGACAATTGTGCAAAGAAAGAGAATGCCATTTAATCCAACATAGTTGGACCAGCTGTTGTATGGTCTAATTGTTGTATGGTCTAAGTAGAAACCGGACGGCACTGTGTAATGCTTGCCACTGAAACTTGACCCAATTGTATAATGCTTACTATAAACCAGAAATAGCCAACTCTGAGCACATTGTTGCTTTGGACATTAAAAAAATAAATCAAAGATTTTTCATTCCATATTAACAAACAAGAACATTTGAAATAACATCATACAAAATCCAACATGGCATATGTACAGAATTAGAACTATACTTGTAAATTTGACAATTGCAATCCCAAAACAGCCAGTCTTTGCCAGCCAGAATCAATACAAGCAAGAACCCACGTTGGGTTCATGAAGATACAGGGGTAATCACCCTAGCTGCTGCCGCTGCCGCTTCTTGTGCTCATTTTCTATTTAGAGGAAAAGGTTGTTGGGGAGTCTCTGACCCTTGGAAACAAAACTTTCCAATTTTGCAGACCAAAAGCAGCAAAATCACAGATCCATTGTTCCTTGCCCCTTGAACTTTTTTGCAGAACGCTCACTTGCTCGAAACTGGATCCTGCTTCCGTAGATGTAAGACACAAACCCATCCATTTCAATGCTGAAGATATTGTTCCGCTTTGGAATAACTGAAAAGAAGCCCAGAAAATGCCTTTCGGTTAAATGATTTAACACAGCGCACGGATCTGACAAGGAATGAGCAGAGAAATTTATTTCTCTCAAGAAGTTAGAATCAAGAAGTAGATATAAATGAAGGCCAGGAAAGAAAATGGAGAAGGGATACAGCAAGGAAGGGACCGTTAATATTCCAGCTGGAGTATGGAGTCTAGTATGCAAGAGAGATTTAAAGGTCTTAATTGCAATATCTAATGAAATAATTCTTTCCAGCATCAGATTGCGAGAGTATATCTATTAAACAAACTGAACGAAAGGTTACTGAACTAAAAAGCCACAAAGTATAGGGTTTGGTTTTTAGAAAGCAGCTTGGAATGTATAGAATTCTGCTGATGTTGCAAGAACTTCCTTCAGCTGTTGCAGCCAGGAGCAAAAACATAGAAGTGCAGGACAATTCTAGAGACGGAGGAGGAGAAAAAAGAGAAAGAAAGGAATAAAACTGCAGAAGAGCAAAGAAAGTTCAGACTGAGGTCGAGCTTAAAGGGAGCGGCTTCAGTGGATATATGCACTTATGGAAAAAAAAATACAATTCAATTTTGTTAGAATTTTATCTTGGTTACATTACACATTTGGCCGCAACTTCTGGAAATCAGGAGTGGAGGAAGCTTTCAAAGTTTTAGAGCTTTGGTTTCCCCTCCAATTCTCTGGTCCAGGTGCTCTTGGGGTCTTGGTTTAAGTTCTTAAAATACCAACCTGCTTTATAAATGTTTTAAAGCAGGGTTTCTCAACCGTGCAAACTTTTAAGAAGTGGGGACTTCAACTCCCAAGAATTCCCCACGCTGCCCGTGGGATTCTGGGAGCTGAAAGTCCACATATCTTTAAAAAGTTCACAGAGTGGAGGAACATGATTTTAAAGGGCCAGCTCTTCGGTTAAATAGAAGCCTCTACTGATCGAGCCAGGCTTCTGGTTGGCCTACCTTTCAGCCTGTCTTCTTTTGTGATGATTTTGAAAACGTACTTCGTTTCCTGGAGGATGATGCCAGTGACGCCAACGTAGGAAGGACATTTGGATTTGGTCACTGAAAGAAAGAAAAGAGAAGGTCCTTACCCTAAAAGAGGACCTGATCTGGGGTGCCCACATTGCAGCCCTGGTCAAAAGGGCCCAGCAGAGATTATACTACCTGAGACTTCTCAGGAAACAACAACTGAATGAAAAACTGCTGGTGACCTTCTACCGCTGCACCATAGAGAGTATCTTAACTTACTGCACCTGTGTATGGTTTGCCAGTTGCACAGTGGCAGATAGGACAGCACTCCAGAGGGTTAAGGTCATTGCCCAGAGGATCATAGGTTGCCCTCTCCTCTCTTTGGAAGAGCTTTATAGCTCCTGCTGCCTTAAGAAAGTTCAAAACATTCTCAAAGATCCATCTCATCCCGGACACCCTTTTTTTTGAACTATTACCATCTGGCAGACGGTACAGGATAATAATAAAAACAAGGACAAATAGGCTGAAAAACAGTTTCTATCCCAGGGCAGTAACTCTTTTGAATTCTACTGTATAGTGCTATATGAATGCAATATCAGGGGTTTTCAATTCAGTTGCATAGAATGTGAATTGATGTGTGTTTTTGTTTATTTTCATAGTCATAATGTACACTGAAGATGGTATTTAATTTCATTGTATGAAGTGCAGTGACAATAAAGTAAACTAAACATTCAAACTGGGCCATCTGTTTAGAAGAGTTCCCCGTTGCAATTGCTGAGAGTCTCACTGTTAAGACGGTGCATATGTGCCAAAAATGGAAACCAGAACCCCAGCGTCGAAGTTTCTTCTGCATGACCAAATTCCTGTTCAGCACAGAGACTCGTATTAAAGTCATTTCTATTAAGGCCCATGGCACTGCCTTTCTTTCAGGGTATCTGCTCCATGAGATCAGATAGACAGGTCACTTCCTTCAAATGTTGCTATCTTGCAGGATTTGGGGTAGGGTACCTTTCTGTCGTGGCTCCTGCTCTGGGGAACCATCTTCCCCTTGAAATCCAGCTAATGAACCGCGTTGGCACACGGTGATTAGAGTGCAGTACTGCAGGCTACTTCTGCTGATTGTTGGCTACCTGCAATTTAGTTTGAATCCCACCAGGCTCAAGGTGGACTCAGCCTTCCGTCCTTCCGAGGTCAGTAAAATGAGGACCCAGATTGTTGAGGGCGATGTGCCGACTCTGTAAACCACTTATAAAGGGGCTGTAAAGCACTGTGAAGCGGTATATAAGTCCAAGTGCTATTCCTAACCTTTTCAGCTTTCTGGAAAGCCACTTAGAATTGGCATTTCCCCTGGGATAAACAAGGTTGCAGCCTGGAGAACAGCATAAATGGAGGGATTGGATGCTGTGTTTTGCCTGGATTAGGGAGGGTTTTATCTTGGTTTTTATTACTGCTGTTAGGCCTTGAGGGTTGTGCCTCACAATATGGATGGCCGTATCAATCTTTTAAAATAAATAAAAATAAATCAATCCTATGGCTAGCCAGCCACTATCCATTGAAAGAGAACCTACCACTATTTATTTTGGTTAAAGGGATGTGTGGCCAAATTGCTCTCACTGTTAGGAAGATTTTCCCAGCGTTCAAGGGAGTCTCTCTTCCTGTAACTTAACACTTTGGTTTCTGGGAATACAGTAATGGAGAACAGGTTTCTCTTCAGTCTGGCACACCCTTTGAGATACCAGAAAACTTAACTTTTGCCCCTTCAACCTTTCTCAAGGTTCAGTACAACCTTTGCCCTCCTCAACCTTGTAAAACTTAACTTCTAAGAGACCTGCAGATGAGTAATATTATCCCCAGTGTGGAAAAAAAAAAAAGACCAGTAAGAACTTTTCACTCTTCTTGGGGATCATCAATGAAGCTGACATACAGGCCAGACAAAAAGACTTCTTCATATGGTGTGCAAGTAAATTCAAACAAAATCCACTACATAAAGTTAAGGGGAAAGAAATGTGATTTTTTTGGGGGGTAGTCCAAGCTTCAATTAAAAAAAAAAAGGCATGGGAATACCTGTCACGAGTGCTCCGTGGAAATCTGCTTTAAGCAATTTGGTTTGAATCATCTGTGTCTGCCTGCAAAATGCATGTAGAAATATATTAGCACTCTTCCAGGAAGTTAAACAAAAGGAGGGTAAGATTACAAGATATAATTTTGAAGTTACATTACACTGCTCACCGCAAACAAGTAAAAAAGATGCTATTTTCACTTGAAAATATGGCAACCATCACAATAGTGATTAAATACAGAGCATAAACCCAACGCAGTGACCAAAGAAACCAACTTCCAGTGCCTGGCTTTGCAAAACTATCTGAGGTCAGATTCTAAATTAAGAGGTTCCAGGTTTAAATATTCTTCTTCTATATGATATAACTAGCAGGGTACCCGTGCTTCACTACGAAACTATGTGACTGGGCAAGTTTTTGGGGAGAAAAATAAGGGAAAAAAATTCTGCCTTTGCCTACCAACATCCATTGGTATTCATCTAGCTAGCGTCCTGTCAGTGTATGAGAGAGTTGAAGGCTGTTTAGAAACTCAAACAGTATTTGTCTGTGTGAGCAAGAAGGAGATAGCAAGGAACCTGGATGTGGCTTAGCTCAACTATTCTGTACTAAAGCTGCTTGGTGTTGTGAAACTAAAAGTGAAACTGAAACTCCTCTCCTCTGCTTGTGTTTTGCATTTGGAACAGATTTCTTTTCAGGTGGGGAGGGGGAGTAGAACTCCTTAGCATCAGAGCGTGTTAATAATAATAATACATGAAATACTGTACTAATGCTCTGATGGGTCATTTCAAAAAATCCTTTCTTAGTGAGCACCTAGCAGCCAAGAGGAACATACACACCAAATTTCAAGTTTGTAGGCTTTATGGTTCTGGAGATTTTGTGATGTGTGAGTGGTATTTTGCTTTTATATCTATTTATATCTATCTATCTATCTATCTATCTATCTATCTATCTATCTATCTATCTATCTCTATCTCTATCTCTATCTCTATCTCTATCTCTATATCTATATCTATATCTATATCTATATCTATATCTAGATTATACACACAAACCTATGATTCAACTCTTCCCCGTAAGCTAGGTTTTCATATAAAAGAGACCGACTTAAGGAAGCATTCACATAGACCAGGGTTTTTAAAAATGTGTTTTGCAAAAAAGCGAGGTTCCCACAAGACGGCCTTCGCTCAAATACAGCCAGTTCTGTAGAGCTTTACGTCTTTATCAGAGACTCTTGGAAAGGGTGTGTAGGGGTTTTAAAAAAGGTTGTTCACAAGGGCCCATCTTTTCAAGCTTTAAAAAAGTTTGAAAACCGGACTATAAACTATTCCTTTCTCAAGCTCAGAAATTGAACAATTCTAAAACGCCAAATTCCATTTGGTCTTATTGAAAGGGTTTTTTTTTTTTTTTTCCCCACCAGAGAAGAAATCGCCAGCCTTCTGTGGGATGGCCTCTATGACCACTAAGCATGCAACCAGTTTGCAAAAAAAGAAAAAGAAATGAATGAAAAGAACTGAACTGACGCATCGGGTTTCAATCCGTTGCAGAGTTCTCGGATGTACTGTTTCCAAAGCTCATGCAATGGGATAAACATCTCGTATCTGCAGAATAAGCAAAAAAAAAAGCAAGGATCAAATGCAACAATTGTCCAGGGCTTCTGTAAAGTATTTCATTGGAATGGAATTTGTTCTTGGTTTAACTACAAGTAGTCCTTCACTTAGAACCATTCTTTTAAGTGAACTCTGGAGTCACAATGGCACTACAAAATGACTGATCTTTGCATGGATGACTTGTAGCATTGCAGCATCCCCACAGTCACATAATCAAAGTTACCAATGGCGGCTTTTAATTTTCCTTAGAAAATTTAGGTTGCTAATAAACACGGAAAAAAAAAGAAAATTTAGGCTGCTTGACACCTTAGAGTAGACTGTATTCTAACTCTATGACAATTAAGCTAATTATCTGCTAATGTTGCTTCTGGCCTCCTTTTCTTTTACTTTTGGACTCCACCTGCAGTGTTGACTGTTATAGGTGTCTTAAAATGAGGACTGATAGATTGAGAAACAGTTTCTTTTTCAAGGCAGTAATTGTCTTGAATCGAACAGTGCATTTGCGATTTAGTCCTATTTTTATTATTATAATCATTTTGATTTTTAAAACTCGGTAGTGTGATTGTGATGTGGTGTTTGGGGCACTGTGCTGGAGTAGCTTTCAAATTTCATGGTATTTATGGAATGCAATGACAATAAAGGTATTCTATTCTAGGAGGGACTCAATCCACGGAGATAGGCTTCCAGCCTCGTCTCCCTTTCTAAATTCAACAAGTGCAGGCCCTTAAAGTACACTTCAAACCTCTTTAAATCTTTTTAAACAAAGCAAAAACAGTCACAGCTTTAAGAGAAAGCAGCTTAAAGTATTTTTTTTTTAAAAAAATCACCTACTGCCCTCTTGTGGTGAACTACCATTGCAGAAAATAACTCCCAAAATAAGCCATCGCGGATTAAGGGTATGCTAGAAAACAGCTATATATGGGGGACAGTTTATAAGCAAGGATCTCCAAGAGTATTTGGAGTGCAGTATTTGGGTACAAAGGGTTTAAGAACCCGCAAAGGCACACGCACGTACTTTTTGGGATAGTGCATTTTTTTTTAGCCTCCCTCTGGCGAGGAGCCTGGTCTAATGGCATGTGAGAACGACCTTGGGAGGCAGGAGGAAAAATGTCAAGGAGGATGTCCCTGTTGGAGTCTGAATCAGAGGAGGAAGCCAAACAGCTGACAGGGAATGGGAGGGTGGCTCTGTTGGCTGTGGAGGAGGCTCGGGAAGGGCAAAGTCCAGCTGGGCAGAGCAGGGAAGAGATAGGACAAGGGAGAGGGAGTTCAGAGGAAGAACCAGGCCCACCCCCTCTTCATCCTAGGGCACGCAGGGGGGAACGGAGAAGGGAGCAACGTGGGTTGCATGACTTACAGGGGAGGAAAGGGCCCTGATCCCCTTCATTAGCCACAGCTGAGGAGGCAGTTGATAAGAAAGGCAGGCTGCATGCGGCAGGCTGCTGGGAGCAAATGTGACTTTATCCTGTGTTGTTGTGGCTTATTGTTGTTCCTGGCATCTTCCCAACTGCGTGAGTTTTGCCGTGCCTTCAAGTCTGAAATTCTTGCTCCTGCCCTGCCAAACTAATTACTTCAGTTTGGCTTGTTTGGACTTTAAGTTACAGTTTGTGTTGACCATGTTTTGGACATAATTTTCTGCAGACAAAGGCTGTTCCTGGGAGAGTTTTTCTCTAGTCAGAAGGTAACCTGGACATTGGGGGCAAAGTTGGAGATGATAAAGGGACTCTTATTGATTATCTGTGTTGCCTTTGTGCCAGGCCCCAGGTCATCACACTTATCTATCACTTTCCTGCTTGTAGTTCTTTTTCCTGTTTCCCAAAGTAACCACCTATCATTACAGCCAGTCCCGGCTCTTGCAACCCCTGTGGGCATCAATCAATCACTCCAACCAAGTTGCAGGAGAGCCAGCCAGCCTTTCTTACCTCTGTTGTTCTGGAGCAATCTCAAAGAGACGCATTTCTCGTCTCTGTTTGGCCGATAATCCTTTCCCCCGCTTGACTCTCTTCTGGGTCCTCCTTGGTTGTGGGTGCTCAAGGACGACGGCTTTCCGGTTTAAGTGTTTCTCGATATCTTCCTCGCTCTTCCCAGGCATGCTGCGTTTCAGAAAGGCCTTAACAAAGGCCTCCGCCTTGCTGGATGCTTGCGGCTGAGAAAGAGAAAGGAAAGACGCATCTTGAGCAAAGCTCGAATTCTAATTTGGGGGTTGGTTATTCTTTAACCCCCATGGAAAAATTTTATTTATTAGATTTGTTAAGGCTGCTAACTCCAAGAAGACTCCATGCTGTGAATAATAATTCCAATATTAGCAATGTTTTTTTTTTCTTCTATTAATGATTTTGTAATCCCTTACACTGGGATGGAGTCGGGGCGACTGAAGGGAACTTGAGAGTTTGCTGGCTGGCTGCCCCTCCTGACGCCTATGTGGAGTTCACAGCAGACAATAACTCATTGAGCCCCAAGACAGAAATATCTGCCGCTGCCTAGGATCGAACTCACAGCAATCTCTTGATTGCGAAATGAGAATTCCACCAATAGGCCAATGTTGCTGCTCAGGTCCAATACTATCAATATTAAAACCATATTGATTGTCTGGACTCAAAGCAACCCTAAAGTTTGCAAATGAGCAGCAGTTCCACAGCCACCCTAACCTGAGTCCATAGTAGAAATTACACACAGTTGCAGGAGATTTTAGGTGAAGGAGCGAGATGAAGACAAATGGACGTTTTATTTATTTTTGTTTAGTGAAACGTATGTTGTTTCACCTTGGTGGCTCTGGGTAATGGACAAAAATATAGTCAACTATTGTAGTTACTAGGAAATGTAAACTCCAATCTTGCTGAAATTTTTGAGCCTTCTCTCAAATTCTAATGGTCTTAAAATCCCACAATGAATTTCTTCCATGCGATAAACCCTGCCATGCTTCAATTGGCCTACCCATTGGTGTGGTCTTCTTTTCTATAGGAATGAGTGAGAAATACCATTTTGTGTACTTCATGGCATGATTTAAGGGGGTCACCACCAAGGAGCACTGAAGATCACATGTAGTCTAATGGACGCTACTTGTGTTTTGTGGTTTAAAGAATTCTAAAGTTCCATAAGGGACACAGTGACTCAGACGCTGAGCTTGTTGATCAGAAAGGCTGGCAGTTCGGCGGTTCGAATCCCTAGCACCGCATCACGGAGTGAGCTCCTGTTACTTGTCCCAGCTTCTGCCAACCTAGCAATTCGAAAGCATGTAAAAAATGCAAGTAGAAAAATAGGGACCCCTTTGGTGGGAAGGTACAAGTATTCCGTGCACCTTTGGCATTTAGTCATGCCGGCCACATGACCACAGAGACGTCTTTGGACAGCGCTGGCTCTTCAGCTTTAAAAAGGAGATGAGCTCTGACCCCTAGAGCCAGAAATAAGTAGCACATAGATGCAAGTGGAACCTTTACCTTTACTTTAAAGTCCCAGAAAATTTGAAAAGTTAATTTCTGAGTAACTTTCTGTTGATTCACTTTGTTTTCATGATGACCACAATTCATGTCCCACTTTCCACTGAAAAGTACACACCAAAGGTATTATCCACCAATACATTTATTTCAGAGCCCAGGGTCATGTATTGAGACTGGACAACTCTATAAAATTGAATTATAAATAAGATAAAAATACCTGAAGGTTCACGAGTTTTGCTGTCGACTCGGGCAGCTGCTTATATAACACCTCTGGAAAATAAAATATAGAATTTACATTAAAAACAAAAACAAATAACGGATGGTATAAATTAAGATGAATTTGTGGAAAATTAATGAAATGATACAATTTGATAAAATTTGCAAATATGATGAATACAAGAATATATGATTAAGGAATACAGAGAAAGACTAAGAATAAAGAGAATGATATAATGTATGAGAATATAAAAAGGGAAATTGGTAATAGATAATGATGTGAAATTAGATAAGAAAGCTGTATCTGTGATTATGGTCATGTTTGATTTAAAATGTTAAAAGCCTGGAACCACACTGTTCACCTAAAGATGTATTTAAAGAAATAAAAATAAAAAAATATTTGCAAACAACAACAACAACAAAGCAAAGTATATTGTTCCAGGGATATGTCCATCTTTCTCTAGAGGATGTTTGAAATTATGAAACAACACAGACATGCTGCTTTAAAGACAGAAGAGTTAAGGAAAATGAGATATTTGCTTTCATGGCATTTGACATCCAACAAGGCAACCCAGGTTATATTTTATGCTGGATTTTTCAAGATAAGACACCAATGGCCAAAGCCAACTCCTGTCATTTATTTTGTTACAGGCCTAAGTTGATGGTTTCTGTACAAAGGTGTTTCCTGCCACACATGCATTTTCGCTTCTGTAGGTTGCAACACGGAACAACAAATACATCTTCAAAAAGGCAACTTTATTGTTTCAGTTGAAAAGTTACCAGAAAAAGTAACTTGTAAAAATGTAGCAAAAAAGAAATTCAATTGAGGAAATGACTATTGCTACTCTCCTACTGCCTTCTCTCTTTTTACATTTAATAGTCTTCCAGCATTCAGGGTGTGATGCTTTTATTCACAGTAATCTCCTATAGCCTCATCATTCCGCCTAAACACTTCTTTCTTTCTTTCTTTCTTTCTTTCTTTCTTTCTTTCTTTCTT